TATATATATATATATATATATATATATCAATTTATGTATATAATATTTATATAATTTGTTTTGAATGCTTCAACGAAATATTAAAAGTTCTGAATAAATTATCATGACTATTAATAGAGTTCCGGAGGCCTAAAGATAATTGAAGAATGTCGATACTAGACGATTATAAATTTTTTAATTGTATAGCTCGATCGTATATACAATCAAATCTGGTACGATAGTAAAATTGTAGTTTGAAATTAAAATTGAATATTATTAAGTCTTAAATATATTATGTATACGTGTCTACGAAAAAATCAAGATAATAAATTAGAAAATTAATATGTTATAAGCTAACTATTTAGGTTTTCACACGAATTTTCATAAGATTGTCGATCTTTAATAGTATCTCGTCGATTATACGAAAAAGATTGATCGACGGGATAAATTCCACGAGATAAATCGCGTCACACGATTCGAGAATATTCGCGTCTGTTTGAGACGAAGCACCCACAGCCATCATCAATAAGTATACGGCCCTGCATTGCACTGCCATCTTGACGACAAAGTCGAAAGAGAACTCAACGACCTCGGTTCACGTTCGTCGTGCAGTAACATCAGCATCTGCTATTACGCTAGGGAGTTAAACAAGTTAAACCGGAATACTAGGTGAGAAAATCTAGAGATCGTCGTCGTGTTCTTCGTAGTTCCCTACTCGCACCAGATAACCACAGTGAACCACGGTGACGGTAGCGAGAAGAAAAAACTATTTAGTGATTTCACGCCACTATTTTAGGTACAAATATTCGATTGTGCGCGACTGGCACGCGTAACTGGAGAATTTAGCACAAATGGATACTATCAGTATCGCGCCAAAAACCGTTACGCTCGTCGCTGAGCGAGGCGTAATATGTAGAAATGTGTTGACTTCTACTTCAACTTCGCCGTCTCACCCTCTACGTCTCACGCCGACCGGGAAGATCAGCCATGCGAAGACCCGGGTCTATACGCAGCGTTACAGGAAGGACTGGGAACAGATGTCAGACTTCAAAGGTGCATTTTCTCTCTCTCTCTCTCTCTCTATATATATATATATATATAGATTGCTTTTTCTTGCGTTGCTCACAGGAAGCCCTACACATAGGATCATCTGACGTTGCTTGTATTAGGATATATTCATACAAACTTGTATAGTCGCATAAACATATGCATAAATAAAATTATCCAATCGCATTTCTCTTATAAAGTTGCACGTAAAATATGATCGGATAATTTTCTTTATGCATACGTTTATGCAGCTATGCAAGTTGTGTGGATACACCCGTAAGCAGGGAGTACACTCTCTCGCATAACACATGAGGCATAAGAAATTCAACCAATCAGAGTTCTTTATTTCATGGAAAGGAAGGAAACGAAGAACTTTGATTGGCTCATTTTCTTATGCATTACATGTTATGCGTTATGCAAGAGTCTGTGCTCCCCGCTTTAGGGTTGACTGCTCTTGATTTAACCTTCTGTACTCTAGTACTATGTACGTACATATACCGATTAGTTCCTAGTTTAATCTATCATTGGGTGCGTTCAGCAGACTCAACAGTTTTGCAACCGTTTTATGATTGTCTGCTGAGATAGGACCATTCTTCTAGATCTAAAAGTATGATCCAATCAGCGCGAAGGAAACTTCCAACAGTTGCAAAACAAACGTTCTGCTGAACGCAGCCATTCTCTCTCTGCTGCAACATAAAGGGGAAAGAAAGTTTTTAGGGTTACTACACACATTTTCCATAAAGGCCGTTCTACAATGGGTGCATTCAGAAGCGACGATCGCTCACTGAGCGGTCTGTTCTGTTTAGCTGCAAAAGAAGAACTAAACTGTGCAAGAAATGCAGTTAAAAAGAACAGACCGTTGATTCGGAGTTGGGTCGAATCAGAGCCACTTGTATCAACTCCGATTAAAGCGGGGAGCACAGACTCTTGCA